GGGGATCATGTGTGTTCTTAATAAAGACCGCTCCCTCCTGCTCTCTCCTTGTGCAGGGTGACTGGTCTTGTCTCCGCCCCCTCCTGTAATATAGACCGCTCACTGCTGCTCTCTCCTTGTGCAGGGTGACTGGTCTTGTCTCCGCCCCCTCCTGTAATACAGACCGGTCACTGCTGCTCTCTTTGCTTGTGCGGGGTGACTGGTCTTGTCTCCGCCCCCTCCTGTAATAAAGACCGCTCACTGCTGCTCTCTCTCCTTGTGCAGGGTGACTGGTCTTGTCTCCACCCCCTCCTGTAATAAAGACCGCTCACTGCTGCTCTCGCCTTGTGCAGGGTGACTGGTCTTGTCTCCACCCCCTCCTGTAATAAAGACCGCTCACTGCTGCTCTCTCTCCTTGTACAGGATGACTGGTCTTGTCTCCACCCCCTCCTGTAATAAAGACCGCTCACTGCTGCTCTCGCCTTGTGCAGGGTGACTGGTCTTGTCTCCGCCCCCTCCTGTAATAAAGACCGCTCACTGCTGCTCTCGCCTTGTGCAGGGTGACTGGTCTTGTCTCCGCCCCCCCGCCCATGCGGTTGTCTGTACTGGGTGGGGCCTAATGAGTCCCTCCCACAGCTGTTTTCCGCATTGGCCATGTACAGCACAGTGATGATGTCACTGCTACTTTTAGGAGACAGTTTCTGGGTTTGCAAAGGCATTTGGTGCACACAAAGTGGATTCATTCCCTTTGTGGCTGTTGGGGAATATATTTAACCCCTTCATGACTGAGCTAGTTTTTAGTTTCTGTTCCTAAATGACTGACACGCTTTTTACATTTTTGCTGTGCGATTCTTCCACAGCAGCAAGTTTTGATTATTATTATTATTATTTTTAGAATTTTTTTAATAATAATTATAGTATAAAAATATATTTATATATAAAAGTTTTATTTTCCTAATTTTTTGTACACTTTTTTTTTTTACACAAAAAAATAAGTGTAAAAAGAAAAAAATGTTTGTCAGTTTATATCAAGCAGTCACTATGACTGCATGATAAATTAGCTTTTTTAATTTTTAGTTATTATCAGGCTGCTCCAAACTTAGGAACAGCTAATAATAACCTTAGAGACTGATCCTGACATCATGTCAGAATCAGATCTCACTAAGGCTGGGTTCACACCTAGGCGTATTGAATATGCGCGTTTGTCATGCAGTTCGCGTCGCGCGTTTTTACCGCGATTCGCGGCTAAAAAAAACGCGCGTTTCCGTGGGCTACTTGGCTGTATCCCAATGGAAACGCGAGACCAAAACGCCCCAAAGAAGTACATGTACTTCTTTGGGCGTAGGCCATTTTGTATCGCGCTCGGACGGGCGGAAATACGGCAAGGTGTGAACCAGACCCATTGAATACAATGGGATTTAGATGTTTGAGCGTTTTGTAGAGCGAGCGTTGAGCGTGCTACAAAACGTTCAGGTGTGAACCAGGCCTAAAGGTCTTTGATGGTTCCTAGACGATCAAAACTGATACATTTCACTCGAGATACATTTGTATCTAGTGCCTGAAATGTATCATTTAACATGGGGCTGGGCTCTCCAGCTGTCACAACGAATAGCAGAGAGGTGAGTCACTGCTACCTCTTTGCTATCTTCAGCTGTCAGATACGGATCGCTATTTAGCGAACCCGTATCTGAATGTAAAGGCTTCATTCTTTCATTAATGAAAGAAAGAAGCTTTTACAAAAGCTTAACTAACTCCAGCGCTGACTGGCGGAACGGACGGGGAGGGGGCGGGTACAGCTGGCTCTGCCTCTAGATAGGCAGAGCCAGCTGTCACTCACGCAGCTGGGCGGATCCCGGCGTCCATGTCGGGATCCGCTTCAGCTGCGGCGTCTCAGTATATAGGGAGCTGTAGCTCGCGGTATACTGAGCCTAGGGTGACGGGAGGACGCTAGTTTGTGTCCTCCCGTTACCCTAAGGAGAACTATGGGGAAAAGCCCTGACCCCATAGTTCTCCTTTAATGAATGCCTCAATACTGAGGCATTAATTAATGACTGGTAACCGCTGAGAATCAGCTGTTACCAGCATTACAGAGGCTGATATAACTCGTCATGTACACTGTACGTCTCCCATCACGAAGGGGTTAAATGAAAGATTTTGTGACCAAAGTTCTGCTTTAAGCACTCTCTGGGCACATAATAATGCATCCAATGTATTCAGCATCATTTATTGTATTTGGTTAGGCCAGCAGCCAGTATAAGACCTGAATTTGACCTGGTATCAGCCTCTTGTAATCCCATCATACAGCAGAGCTCAGACTGGGGGGAGAGAGTGACAGCACAAGACGCCAATCCGGTGTACAAAAAACATGCTGATAGGGGGAGAAAGCAGAGTGACAGAGAGTAGAATTCACTAGTCTGCTGCCTCTTCTTCACTGCCCAATCACAGGAGGGGAGGAGGGACGAGACCTGTAAGTGTTACTGAACTGCAGCAGAAAAAAATCAGGTCACCTGCAATGCGAATAGCTTGTGACTTGTTACTTCCATTCGCTCATCTGTCACGTTTTTTTTTCTTTCAGGGACGCCAGTGAATCGGATCCCCATCATGGCCAAGCAAGTCCTGGACCTGTACACGCTCTACAGACTGGTGACCGAGAAGGGTGGCTTGGTGGAAGTCATTAATAAGAAGATATGGAGGGAGATCACCAAAGGCCTGAGCCTTCCGACGTCCATCACCAGCGCCGCTTTCACCCTGAGAACCCAGTGAGTCCCCCCAACCATCAATTCGGGCCGAGAGTCACCATGAGACATTAGGGGGTGTGTCTGGGAGTTTGCCCATTTAGGTAACAGAACATTGGGGAGGGGAGGTGCTGATGTTGGATGAGGAGACCGGGCTCACAATAGGCGTTCCAATTCATCCCAAAGGTGTTCAGTAGGTTGAGGTCGGGGATCTGTGCAGGACACTCGAGTTCCTCCACCACGCTGGTCACACCATGTCTTTATGGAGCTGGCTTTGTACACAGGGGACAGTCATGGGGGGGACAGAAAAGGGTCTTCACCAAACTGTGACCACGAGGCTGGAAGAGGACAATTGTCTACAATGTCCTTGTCTGATGTAGTAATACCAGAACCCTTCACTGGGAACGTCTGAACCTAATCATTTGGAGGGGGTCCATATAATTTTGGCCATATAGGTAGGTCTGATGGTCAGGTGACCACATGCTTTTGGCCATGTAGGTAGGTGTGATAGGGTCAGGTGACCACATGCCTTTGGCCATATAGGTAGGTGTGATGGTCAAGTGACCACATGCTTTTGGCTATGTAGGTAGCTGTGATAGGGTCAGGTGACCACATGCTTTTGGCCATGTAGGATAGGTGTGATGGTCAGGTGACCACATGCTCCGAGCTCTGTAGTGTAGGTGCAGACCCCACAACACATCTCCTCAATGCAGTTTAGTATTGGGACGATATAATCATGCCGATATTCTTCCTTTCTTCCTCCATTAGATACATGAAGTACCTGTACCCCTATGAATGTGAGAAGAGAGGGCTCAGCTCACCCGGAGAGCTGCAAGCCGCCATCGACAGCAACCGGCGGGAGGGCCGCAGGCAGAGCTTCGGATCTGGACTCTTCAGCTACTCACCCGTTGGGACCCCCAACATCCTCACCTCTCCGAAGATCAACATGTCTGCCCTCTCCGTCTCAACACACAATGGGGGGCAGATCGGCCAGATGCCATCCATAAAGAAAGGTAACGGAGTGCAGCTTGTGGTCCCAACAAACCCGGGGGGGCCAATGTATAGAGATCGGGCCAATAAACTGCTTTCATTACACCATGATCCGCTCTAAAGCAGCCGGGACTTCAAAATCGAGTTCCTGGCAAACCTTTTGTTGACACCTCTGTGTTGTGCGCGTGGTTTTGGGATGCCCCCCCGATGCACACAGGGCCGGCCTTAGGGGTGTGCGAGCAGTGCGGCCGCACAGGGCGCCATGGCAACAAGGGCGCCGTGCGGCCGACACAGCTCGTCCTCCTAATTTACAACAATTAATAAATCTCATAGAAGCTTTAAAAGTCATTTCCAATATCTTTCAATCTGCATTGTCTCCCTATTGTAGAAGACGTCATGCACCAGACAGGAACCCCCCACCGAGTCGGAATCCCCGTCAGCCTGGCGGGTCACCATGCAGCCGCCGTCCAAGCTATGCAAGCAGCCGCCCTGGAACAGCTGCGGGAAAAGCTGGAGTCCGGAGAACCCCCGGAGAAAAAGATGGCCATGATGGCGGAGGAGCAGCAGAGACTAATGCAGCACGCCCTGCAACACAACCTCCTGGCCATGGCGGCCCAGCTACCCATGAACGTCAAGATCAACAGCCGAGGTACGCAGACCCTCACTGACCCCCAACCGGGCCTCAGTACACATCCATGTTTTACCGCAGGAAGAGTCCAAATCGTGTCATCAGTTCTGCAACAGCGAAATGCTGGGCAGAATCAAATGTAATACATATGATGCCCCCCTTAATATTCCAACCGGACCCTTATCCAGGCAGCACGGGGGTGGCCAGGAAAGGAAGGGCAGTGAGCGAGCACCCCTCCCCTTACCCACACCTTCCTGTACCAGACAAGGTCACATGCCTTCAGCAATGAGGGGGGCACGGCAAACACCCCCCGCCTTTCCGAAAGGCACTTTCATGTTGAGGGACTAGGGCGTCTTCCCTACATCCTGCTGCCCCAAAAGATCCATCACCAGAACCTGACAACGTTTGCCTGCCGCACTCCGATCACTAAGGTCTCGTTCACCCCTAGGCGTATTGCATATGCGCGTCTGTCGCGCGTTTTTTTTACCGCGACCGGGGCGCATTTCTGAAGGCTACTTAGCTGTATCCCAATGGAAACGCGCAACAAAACGGCCCAAAGTAGTACCTGTACCTTTTCAGGCGTGAACGAGGGCTTAATGGCCGATCCGCAGAGCTGCGGTAATGGAAACACAGCAGCGGGGATCCCCGGTGACATCATTGACCAAACATGGTCATGACTATATTTGGTCAATGACTTCTCCCGGGATCCCCACCGTGGTGTGCTGGGACATGAGGATGGCAGATACAATGCCCATAAAAGTCCACCTACCAACGAACCGCAGCACGGCAGAAAAATGTGTTTGGACCTGAAAACATAACGTATCTCCCCATTTAGGGCCAAAACACCATTTTCTGTTGTGGTGCATGGCAGTAACCTGCATTACTACAATGCATGTTCTAACACATAACATGCATGAACACATTGTGGTGCCAACTATTATGAATGCACTAAGGTAACGCACTAAAGCACATGGGTGCGTTGCCACCATGCCTGCGCATTGGAAATGCATTACTTCACTGGCAGTCAAATGACTTGAATGGTTTGACCTAATGCACCGCATGTGTCGGAATTTCTGGCTTTAAAGGAGAACTATGAGGTGGGGGGGGGGGGGGGGGGTTTTTCCT